AATCACTTCCATTCTGAAAGAGAACATGTGGTCGTTTCCATGACTGAAATGAGACTAGACACTTGTAAAGAATCTCTAATTAACAATTTTTGATGTAAAACATCTTGTCAATTTCAGGTTGGTATGTACCCCTCACTTATGTTGACTGGCCTCTCCAAGAACAAGGGTTTATGTCAGTGAGGCACTGTGGATTTACAATGACAGGAGAAAATAATACCGTTTAATAATGATCTATTAAAGCAAAAACCAGTAACAGACCTTCTACGAACTGGACAATATGGCCATTCAGCAATCAGGGAAGTAAATCATGTGTGACATTCAGGTAACAGACACATTCTCTTTATATTCCTTACTTAAAAACAGTGTCCTTTCTAGTTCAAACATTCTGCAGTTTTTGTTTATAATGTCATATTTCGTAATTTGAGGAGATCCAAAAGAAATGCCACAGAATAAACATTACTTGAGGAAATTTATCAAGATGCTGCTGGTACAAGTGAAGCTGACAAAAACTGACAGCCATTCTCCTCAGCTGTCAGATCCCAAATCCAACACATTTCACAAGCACATGGTTATTTCCCCCAAACGCTCACTATATTGCCCTACTTTGGTAACTTTCCACAATTTTGATTATACTAAAAATGATGTGAAAAACTATTCAAGAGTTTATGGTTTTAAATATAGCAAAAGGAAGAGGCACAAGGAGCAACCACAGACATGGACAGTAGAGGTGCTCTTACCCCACACAATCAGGAACGCGAGACAGCTGTTAATTCATCCAAGGTACAGAATCATAAAACAATGGATGTGAGTTTCTAATTTATCACAAGCCTGGTGGCTTACAACAGGATTTATTTTCCCTCACAGCTCTGGAGAAGTCACAGAGTCTTAGAAGTCACAGCTCTTAGAAGTCCAAGACTAAGATGTCAGTAGGGTTGGCTCCTTCTGGAGGCTCTAAGGGAATCTGCTCCATGCTTCTTCCTAGCTTTGCATAGCTGACGGCAACCCCTGCCACTCCTCGACATTTCTTGGCTCACAGCTACATCTCTCCACTTTGTGCCTCCATCTTCACATGACCATCTTCCCTCTGGGTGTCTATGTCTGCCTTCCATGACCTTCTGCCTATGACACTTGTCATTCTGGATCTAAAGTTCACTCTACTCCAGTATGACCTCATCTTAACTAATTACAACTGCAAAGACCCCATTTCCAATTTAGGACACAGGTTATGGATGGACATGAATTTTGGGAGGACACTACTAAGCTCAGTATACAATGGTATGGTCATGTTTTAATTTTTTACACACTCATTCTGCAGTCTTTGCTCACTCCTCTCTCTTGTAACCATGCCTCATATATACAGGGTTCCCAGTCAGTGTCTGTTAATGAAACAATGAATGTTTGATACAGAGCGAAACCCTTCCTTGCAGTATGGATCTGCTGAATGAGGGCATCTCTCTTAACAAACCCACCCACCATTCTTGTCATTTCTTCTAGCACACACTAAAAAAGTAAAGAAAGATGGATACCTGAAAAGCTATCTGAGCAAAGAATGCTTATAATGCATTATTCTTTAGGTTCCTCATCCACATTTCATTCAACGGCAATTATTAATATACTAATTTGCTTTGATGGCTTTCCAAAGGACCCACCTTAGTTATAGAGAAACCGTCATCTCTCCTCTCACATCCATATACAATCAGCTCATGCAGAAGCTACAGTGGTAAATTTATGTGTCATTTTAACCGGGTTAAGGGATGCCCAGACCACTAGTAAAGCACTATTCCTGGGTATTGTGAGAGTGTTTGAATTAGTAGAGTGAGTAAAGAATATCTACCCTCACTAATGTGGCATCGTCCAGTCCATTGAGGGCCTGGATAGAACAAAAAGGCAGAGGAAGGGTGAATTCCTCCCTCTTTTTGAGCTAGAACATCCATCTTCCCCTGCCTTCAGACATCTGAACTCCATGCTCCCAGGCCTTAGACTCAAAGACACCTGCAGTCCCCACCCCAGATTCCAGGCCCTTAGCCTCAGACTGGGGGTCACATCATCAGCCTCTCTGGTTCTCCAGCTTGCATGACATCGTGTCCTCCACAATCACATGAGACAATTCTCACAACAAATCTCTTTATACATACACACAAACACACACACAGTTGTATTTGTTCAGTTTCTCTGGGAGCCCTTGCACAAACACACAAGTACAGTTGGAATCAAGTCTGGAAATAAACACATATGATGCTAGATAAGCAAACTACACAAATAATGGGAGCGATGCCATGGGTGCCAGCTACCTGGGTATCAGCTCCACACCCCAGGGAGCTGATGACAATGACTGACAAGCCACAACAGCACTGACCAGTGAAAGCCAGGTGAGAGACTTCCTGCCACCCCATGTCCAAAATGCATGACTCCAGGGCAGAGAGGACAGGGTGTAGTAATAAGGAAGGCTTTGTAAAGATGAGATCTTTGAATTATATTTTTTTAAATGAAGTGAGAGATTTCCAGGTTGGCAGAGATGGGAAAGGATTTTCTGTTCAGGGCATAGACGTGTGAACTTACCCAGAGAGTGTGGACCATGAACTCCACATCGAGCAAGGGGAGTAGGAGGTGGCAGGAGAGGAGGCAGAGAGTTGGGCAGGTGCAGATTAGCATCTGCTCTGTAGTTTGGAACCTCATTCTCACAGGTAATGGGACAGAGGGGCAAGGTGGAGGGAAGGACAGCCAGATCAGCAGGTGCTGGACACTATGATTCAGGATGGTGGCAGCAGGCATGAGAAGCAGTGGATGGAGTCTAGTGACAGCCAGGCTGCTGGCCTGATAGCACCTGGTGACACAGGGATGGAGGTGATAGAAGAGAGGGAGGTAACTTTCTGAGACCTCAAGGGTACCTGTGTCACATTTGTGTGCCCCAGCAGAGCCATTTCCTCTGCCTGGAATACCCCTCCTGCTGCCTACAATGCACAGTGCCTCTGGCAGCTGGTATTGTGCCTAGCATATCAGCAGCTCAAAAACTGTTGCAGAAATGAACAAACACTTCTAGCCCTAAAAAGACAGGATGATATGTATCAGAAACACATAACAATGTCTTAAAGACTAAAGTCAAAAGATTTTTGTTTAAGTGGGTGTGGTGTCACATGCCTGTGATCCCAGGACTCTGGAAGGCTGAGGCAAGAGAATTGCAAGTTAGAGTCCTGCCTCAGCAACTTAGCAAGATCTTGTCTCAAAAAATATAAAGGGCTGGAGATTTAGATCAGTGTGAAGGCCTGGGGTTCAAGCCACAGTACAACCAAAAAGACAAAAAATAATCTTTTGTTCAATATCCTAACAAATATGGTTTATAAGGGAAGTTTGATAATAAGAATGGGTCTCCTGGAAACAGCAAAGGCGGGGGGGGGGCTGGCAAATACCAGAGTATTTATTGTACCACTTATTGGCCACCTATTAAGTGCCAAGAATTCTTTTAAATATGGTAGAGCTTTGGGGTGAAACCAAACCAAAAAGTTCGTTGATTAAACACTATGGGGACTTGTTAATGCTGTAATGTCCTGGCTTTGCTGCTCCCACATTTTCCATGTTTTACTAACACTATAGAAAACTTTAAAATAGCATTTATGAACTCTTTTCAGAAAATCTGAAGAAGTATGCTTCATGATGTTGAGGGAGGGACACATGGCTGGAAGAAAAACATATAAAATCCAAAATGCACGCCGGGCCTGATGACACACACTTATAATCCCAGCATTCTGGGAGGCTGAGGGTGGATGATGACAGCAAGGTCAAGCTCAGCCTGGGCAAATTAGTGACTTATCGAGATCTTGTCTCAAATAAAAAATAAATAAAGGGCTTAAGATTTAGCTCAGTGCAAAGGCCCTGGGTTCAATCCCTGTACTGCAAAAATTAAAATTAAAAAACTGTTTAAATCCCAGAAGCCTACAGGTAAGAACTGTTACATGAAAGACCATCTGAGACCAAACCACAGTTGTGCAGATTTAAATGTTACCTCAAAACAATACTCTTTTGCCTTTGTGAGCCTTCTTCTGGTGGGACAGCTTAGTTGCACAATTTATGAAGTTCACAGATAGGAACTGTGAGTTGTAACCATTTCTTCCTCTGCCTATGCACCAACAGACCACTGAATCAGATGCAACTAACCTCAGGAAGATCTCAGGTTCTCCCTGACCACAGGCTGCTGCAGAGAACAGACCAAGCTCCTCAGGAAGTAATGTGGCTAATACACCTGTCACCAGGAACAACCCTGCTTTAGTGTTCATTCCTCAAGATTCCTAAGAAGTTGTTCCCAAACTAAACTCAACAGAATACAGAAGTTTCACTGATCCAGCCAAGTGATCATGGCCCACCAACTTAAGGCTCTAGTGATGGACAAGATTTTATAATCGCATGGTGCCCTCTTACGCTGCACCAAGCATTACCCTTGTAGTTGCTGGAGGTCAAGGGGGTTAAGGGGAGGGGCCAGGGCAGCCAGGGGACACCCAAAGGGGTCAGGGTACCAGCTATCTATCTAAGCTAGCATGGAAGAATTTCTGTATTATTAACTAAGAGATGAGTGTCAGCCCTGTGTTACAGACCTTAGACTAGGAATTAGCAAAATTTCTGTAAAGAGCCAAGTCGTAAATATTTTAGGCTCTGCAATCCCTATTTTCCATTATAACTAACTCAGCTCTGCATTGTAGTGCAAAAGCAGCCAGATAAAAGATATAAATAAAATCTGTTTGTGTTTCAATAAAAATGTAAAAAAAAAACCAAAAAACAAAAAAATAGGCAGTGGGACAGATGTGAATAGGGTGTAGTCTGTGACCTTTACCCTACAACACAGTATAGCTAATAACCCTACAGAACAATCAAATATTCAGTCTCACCCTCATTACACAGTATCTTACCAACTGGTTTTACCCGGCATGATGATTCTTACAACCTTCACGTTTATAGACCCTGAGAGGCTGAGTCAACAGTCACCCTCCCCCACAAATTAAGATACTCACCCAGAAAAATCTGTAGTGAGAATTCCATAGTGGAAGATGTATATTCGGCTGATGTGGCATATTGTAAGGTATCCCATGGCTACAAAAAAGGTGTATCTAAAACCAAAAGCACAGATGACTGGATTATTATGCATGACAATAATGCACTCAATACATGTTCCCTTCTTTCTCTCCTTCACCCGCTACATACATATGGTCACAAGACTTCTCTGCCCAACGACATCACAGTCCATCCCCTCCTCACTCTCCAACCCATGCTTCTCACCTGGACCACACTGGATGCTCTCAGCCTTAACAGCATAAAGGAATCACCCAGGCAGCCTCACAAACTACAGTTGCCAGGGGCTTTTCCCAGACATCCTGGTTTAATTGGTAGTAGGTGCACCAGGCAGGTGTATTCCAGTTGGCACCCAGGACTGGGAACCACAGACCTGTAAGGTCTGGCACGTGATTCTCCTCTTCACAAATCATCACATTTTACACGATGATCCTCACAAAATACAAATCAGCACCCAACTGTTGATCCCTTCTCTTGACTTCCATTCCCTTTGTTTTCTTACCACCTCTCTGGATAATTCTTCCAGAGCTCATTGTTCAGCTTACCTTCCTCCACCTATTCCTTCAGTGTGAAATGCTCTACTCAGGATCCTCCCCACCCATGCCTCAGGCTTCAATTACCACTTACTAATTAGCATTCCCTGGCTTCCTTCAGAGAGGTAGCCCAGACCTCTACATTGTATGAAGTAGTAATACCCAAATAAGCAACACACAGGTACTTACATGCACACTTTTATCATTTATAACATTTATCAAATTGCAGTTACAAATATATGTGGTGATCTGTGCAATGGACTGATGTGTCCCCCTTCCCCCTCTAAAAAAACTGAAATGTTGAACCCCCAATGCAATGGTATCAAGAGGCAGAGTTCTTGGGAGGTTGAGGGTGGAGTCCTAGTGAATGGGATTAGCTCCCTAATAAAAGGGATCCCAGAGAGGCCTTCCCACCCTCTTTCTGCCATGTGAGGCTACAATGAGAACTTGGCCATCAGACATGCAGAAGAAAGCCCTCACCAGAACCCAACCATGCCAGCTAACCTGAGTTCCATTCTCTAAAGAAATGAGAAACACTCTCTGTTGTTTACAGGACACCCTGCTATAGGGCACTGCCACAGCAGCACAAGCAGACCAAGGCGCTCTCTCTTTCCTGACTGTGAGCTCCATGAAGGCAGAGGTGGCCAAGCGCATTTTGTTAGCCATGGTAAGTGAATGCTACTCTTATTACAAGTCTCCAGCAGATCCTACTGTCTTGCCAAATTAAAACTCCTGAACTCGGTGCCATGCACAGTGCTTCCCAAGCTCTACCTCACCTTTCTAAACTCATCTCTAGTCCTGCTTCAGGTCCACCTGACATTCAAATAACTTGGATCACTCATGTTCCACAATTGCATCCTGTATTTTCAAACCAGATTTCTTCCTGCATGCTTCTTCTTCTGCTTGCAATTCCTTTCTCCATCCTATAGCCCATCTGGAAACTGTCTACCACATAAGGCTCAGCTCAGTGTCACTCCTTACTGTCACTTGGCTTGTCTTGCTCCATCCATCCCAACCCATCTCCTGCTCCCCCCACTCCCAGCACAATTCATTACCCCAATGTCTGCATCTTTCTAGTGCCTCATGATAACTCATGTAATTGTAGTATTAAAAATTATCTACATAGACATCTGTTTCCCCAACTCACTGTGACCTTGAGCATACCAACCATTGGCTTAACACATAGGACAGGTTCAGTTACATTAGTAGAAATAAACTGAAATGAACACATATATTAAACATTTTAAATGATTCAGGAGCACATCAATGCAGACATAAATTAGGAAGGTCTAACTTTTAACATGTATCATAAAACAGGGAAGATGAGGGCCGGGGATTTAGCTCAGTGGTTCTGCCACCTGCCTCACAAGCACAAGGACCCGAGTTCAATCCCCAGTACCCCCCCCAAAAAAAACAGGGAAGATGAATATCTTGATATTAGATTATATTGAAATTCATATATTCACATTAAAATAACACATGAAGACTAAGTCAATTCAAGGAATGGTATAATAAGGAAATAAAAATTCTTTCCATAGCAAGAGATATTCAGATAACAAGCATGAAAGAGTTCTATAAACTCTAAAGCACTATATAACCTTAAGTTTTCTTTACCATTATTTAGGATGATGTTTGCTATAATTTAAATATGAAGTGTCCCCCAGTGACTTCTGTATCGAGGGCTTGAGCCCCATGCAGCAATGTTCAGAGGTGGGATGGACTGATGCATTGATAAGTTCCTGAGTGAATGGGCTATTAGGAGGTGGGACCCAGCTAGAAGAACTAAGATGCTAGGGCAGGGGGCCTTTGAAGAGTACATTTTGTCCACAGCCCCTTCTTCTCTGGCTCTTTCCCTCTTTTTCTGCTTCTTGGCTGCCCTTAGCTGAGCAGCTTTCCTCCACCACACCCTTCCTCCAAACAAAGGTCTAAGAAGAACTCCCTTAAGAGCTGAAGCAGTAGAACAGAACTAGACCTTGTTGCCTCCAGCAACCCTTCCCTTTCTCCACCCATTGCATCAGCTCCAGGAAGCAGCAAGGGGCAGATTCTTCCCACCAGGTGAGATGCAGCCAGGCCTGCTACTTCCCTTTGTCCACAACAGGAGTCCACCCAGACCTTCCCCTGCTCTGAGGGGAAAGCAGGGTTGATTCAATTGTTGTAATTAGATCCCAGCTGTCAAGAGTGCAGCAGAGTGCTGAATCCTCATGCAATAGGGCAATGCATTCATGCCCTGGCCAGACCTGAAAATCTCAGGAAACCAGGAGTGGCTGAGGAAATACGTATTCCACAGACAGACTAACAGGAGCTCAAACCCCAGCACTGGACAAGTAAACCATGGTGTGAGAAGTTGAAAGAGTGGTTATTTCAGAAAGAGGGTGCAGCAGAGATCAGTACAGGAGGGATGGTAATATTCTATTGACCTGGGGCTGGTTACATGGGTGTGTTCATTTGGTGAAAATTTCACCCAACAGTGTATTTATTCACCTCTCTGAGCTCTCATTTCCTCATCTCAGGGAGAAAAAAATTACATTTCATAGAGTCGTCTTAGGGACAATATATTTGAAATAATAAAATGAAATAGTAAATGATGTACTAAATAATGAAATACATTAAAAAGAGTCTGGCCTATGACTTGTTATAAAGCAGAAACTCCAGAATGGATAACTGCAGCACTAAGCTCTCACACCTGCTCCAGGTGCTTCACGCATGGTAAACTGAGGCCTGTGAGGCCCGTAAAACATAATTGCAAGGATGAGAACACAGGTGATAGACACCCTCGAGAACTCTCTAAAAAATCCTGAGAAACAATCAGTTCAGAAATGGTTTAGTTGCATATGGCAACAAATACTAATTCTCCCCTCCTCCTCCCAGCCATATGACAGAACTCTTACTCCTGGCTCAGGGGAGTAAAAAGAATAACTCACAAAGAATCAGGAAATCACAATCTTGAAGATAACTTGCATCCAAACTAGTATAAATCCCAACTTGTGTATAGAGAACCTGTGTGACCTGTCAAGGTGTCCTAACTCTAGTCTAGTGCTTTTTCTCTGAATCAATAGAGTAACTTTGGATATTTTTTAAAATTTACACTGAGACCATCCATTGGGAACTGTGACCCACTCCCTCCCCCTGCAATGCTGTCAACCACACAACCAAACAAAAGGGGAGGGACTTGGCACCTTTCCTTCTTAACTGTTATGGAAGAGCCCTCTGCTACCACAGTATTACTGTGATGAAATGGCCATTGCCTGCTGTGAACAGCTCAGCTCTGCCAAGGCTGGAAAATTCAATTCCCAGTCACCAAAGACTGGGGTCTGCCATGGAACAGGTATGTGTGCAATTTCCTGATCCTCTGAAAAATGGGCCACACCCATCAGAATAACATAGGTAAAGGAAGAGCTGAGAAATTAGAATATGTAGATATTAGGAATCAGTTAGCAAGATGCAGTAGTTATTAATTATTTAATTTTTAAAGCTTTAAAGCTTTTATCAGCATTGTGTCATATGTAAAACACACCAAAACCTATTCTTTTTAGATTAACAAGACAGATTTCCTATTTCCTTTCTGGAAGGAATGATACTATCCTTTTCAAGGATGGCACTGAGAAGAGAGATGATTAAAATTCAAATGTTCAGAACTCATTCGGATTCTAAGTTGAATGAATGTAAAGCTTAAAAGCATGCAAAAATATTTTCCTATGAAAATCATAAACTTATAACAAATAACCATAAAATTATAGCCCAAAGTTAAATGTCGATGTTTTTAAGAAAGAAAACTATTGTGTGGACGGTCTTATTAATCAAAGAGCTTTTCTGAAGAAAAAAAAAAAAAGGCAAAAGGCATCTGCTTTTGAGAGAAGCCATCAGAAAAGGTTAAGTGCCTTTTGAAAGCAATTTATTCATTCCATAAATACTTATGGAGCCCTTACTTGTGCCAGGTATTGTTCTAGGTTTTGAGGATGCAACAGTAAGCAAAAGAGAAAGCATTTGTTCTCATAGGACTTACATTCCAGTATCCCCAGAAGGCAGAGTCAGCACTGAGTTCCGAGTAAGACTCTGGGAAACAGACAAAGCAAAGCAGATACCCCGGGCATCTCAGTGGAGAATCCAAGCACGGAGCCTTCTGGGTAAAGTAAATTACTACTGTACTTTAAAATCAAAACATCATAGCAGAAGTTTCTTTTTTCCAGTACTGGGAATCGAACTCAGGACCATGCACTTGCCAGGCAGAACAGTGCTGCTGAGCTACATCCCCGGCAGCAGAAATCATTCTTTCTTTTTAAATACTTTATTGTAGAGTCTTGAAGTACACAACTTATTAAGTTTGGATATATGTAGTCACCCATAAAACCAGCCCCAAATTCAAGACCCTATGCAACACTTCCTAGAAGGTTTCTGGTGAAGAACCATGAGGACATATCCTAGAGAAGCTAAGATTTACTACTTGTGGAAAATGGTAAAAGAACACCTTCCCCTTGGAAATACATTTCAAAAATCACACACGTAAAAAAATCTCACTTTGCATTGTTCAAGGTCTTACCTGTGAATATTGGATACACTTGTGGTGACCATAATTCCATAACACAATAACACCAGCACAAAAAGATGTATAGAATACCTTTAAGACATGAGGAAAGGAAGGGATGCTGAGTGTATTTCATGCTAATATACCTACTGGCTACTCCACCTCCACCCCTAGCCCCACCAAAAAGCAAGTGATCAGTTTATTCATATTGATGTAAAGAAATAAACCAAATATTGTTGTATGTAACTAAGATAATTATATCTTGAAGTGACACCAGGACATCATGACCTAGTTTGCCAAATGTAGCACTAATAATTCAGGAACCCATAAATGGAATGCTTCTACCTTTCTCCATATCTATATACAACTGGGGAGCCAGAGAAGGAGTTCTTTCTTTGGGACTATATTTTTTCAAAAGTACCAATACCAAAACCAGGCTTTGCCAGGTACCAAGACTTTTACCCAGTGGTTGATTCAAAAGACTCACCTTTTCTCAAATGTTTGTTGAAGACTTAGGAGCAGTATTCTAGGGCCCTGAATAAATTCACAAATTTCCTGAAGATATACTTCTAGACATATTGCTTTCTAAAGCTTCTCCCCTAAGAAGTGCCATCCCAGGGTATTTGCCCAGCTTAACCTAGCAGAGAAAAGTCCAATCTACCATCTTTAACATTCTCTAAAGAAAAACTCTAAGTCCCTAAAACCTGCACTAAAACCAGGGTTCTACTAGAAATGCAGGACTGGCACCAATGTCTTCAGCAGGAATACCACAAATACACCAATGTGTGCAAAGGTCAGGAAAGGTTCCTTCTTGGAAAAAATTAAATGTTAAGGCATCCCACTTGCATGATCTGTGGAAGTCCACTCTTTTTTCTTTGGGAAAATTGACTATTTTTAGTAGTATGTGTTTGCAATATATTCATCATGTGGAATTACTACATATATATAGCACATTTTAAACCTTTTTAGTTCCTTTTGTCTTTTCCTTCCCCTGTCCTTTCCTCATCCTATTCCCAGATCTCCTTCTAATTTCCACAAAATCTACCTCCATGTTTCCTATCATCTATCTTTTGTTTTTTTTCTTTAAATTATTTATACATTGGGTTTCTCCTATAAGAGAAACCATGCAATATTTAAAGTTCTGTGTCTGGTTCATTTCACTTAATATTATAGTCTCAAGGTGCATCTACCTACAAACAACCCAAATTTATCCTTCTTTATGGCTGAGTAGTACTCCATTGTGTATATACACCATTATTTCTTTATCCATTCATAGGCTGATGGACTTACTGGCCACCTCCAAGATTCAGCCATTATGACTAATTTTAAGAAAAAAATCACTGACTTCTACTGACTAGTCAGTTTATTGTTTCAATTTTCTTAAATAAGTATTTCATAATTCATATTCAATTCACATCTCATAACATGGTATCTTATAATACTATATTATATTTCTTACCTTAGTTCAATGCCAAGAATATTGCCAAAAAACACTACCACTAGAGTTTACAAGATTCATACTCACCAGCCAAAGCAAAAAATGACAAAATAAATGCCCAGAATGGTGGCAATTGCATGTCGGACCTCGGAACTTGTTTTCCCAGGATGTAAGTAGATGCGAAACCAAAAAGCAGCAAACAAGGCAAAGAGCTGGCAGGCCACGAAGTTAACCTATGGGGAAACAGAGCAGAGACCTTTACTGCCTTGCCTCTGTGTGAATTCACCTTCATGTTCTCAGGGTGCCACCTGGAGAAGTAAGTCCAGGTGGGGATGCACCCACAGTGGCAAGTGCCTGCCGAGCCTGCAACAGGCCCCGGTTCCAACCCAACATCACAAAAGTGACTTTCTCACACTTCCGTTTGGTGAGAGACAAGAAAGATCATCATTCCTCATATGGTGTAATAAATTATGGGCTAACAGTTTCTTCTCAGCCCCTTGAAGCTGGGCCAAGGCTATTTTCCCTTCCACAAGCAAGGAGCTTTAAATATAAAGGGCCTAAGCTGTGAGGTCTGTTGCTAGGTGTCATTCCCCATCTCAAACACTGTCCTAAGAGAAAGAACGGCAAGAGAGTTCTCTTGTTTGGTCCCTAAGAAGTTGAAGTCTTTTCCAAGATGTTTTCTGATTTCAAATTGGCACCAACTAAGCAAAAGAATTCCTCGAATTCAAGCTGTGACACAAAAAGAGACACAGCCCTCCAATAAACTTCCAGATCCAAGCCCAGTCAACTATGCAAAGTAGATACCAAATTTCCTTAGAAAAAAAAATCTGTGCTATATCTCTCAAGAATATTTAGCCTGGGAGGGGGGGTTAAAGCTGTGTGGTTAAGTGCTTGCCTAGCAAGCACAAGGCTTTGAGTTTAATCTGCAACACTGAGGAAAAAAGAAAATTTTACTTAAAAGTAAAAAGAAAGCAATTCCCTAGAGCCTATAGGAGTTTTTAAAAAGAACAAACAGCCAGGCATGGTGGCACACTCATGAAATCTCAGCATTCTGAAAGGCTGAGGCAGGAAGACTGCCAAGTTCAAAGCCAGCCTGGGCAAATTTACAAGACCCTGTTTCAAAATAAAAGAGGGCTAGGGGCCAGGGATTTAGCTCAGTGTTTAGGCTGCCTGCCTTGCAAGCACAAGGACCCAAGTTCAGTCCCCGGTACAAAAAAAAAAATGAGGGCTGAGGTTGTAGCACAGTGTGAAGGCCATGCATTCAATTTCCAGTACGATATTTAAAAATCAAAAAAAGAGAACAAACAAACAAGTATCTTTGCAGGTTGAATTTACACAAATCAGATTCCAAATACCGAGAGGAGGTGAGCCACTCCCAGCACCCAGGAGGAGGCTTCCAGGCCGCCGTACCACCCTACCAAGCTCAGAGGAGGTGAACTGCTCCTAGTGCCCAGGACAAGGTTTCCAGGCCACCAAACCACCAACACCAACACCACGACCACCCCCAGTGCAGAGGAGATGAGCTGCTCCCAGAGCCCAGGAGGTGGCTTCCAGGCCGCAGTACGACTCCCCCCCACCAGCAAAGGAAGTGAGCCATAAGGGCTCCAGCAGCACCACCCCCCATCAAAATGAGAAGACATGTAAACAAGCCTCAAAACCAGACTTCCAGATCACCTAAAGCAACCCGAAAGGGAAACGAGATGGAACACTCTGATATGCAACCATCTGGACTCCCTGAACTAGCAACAAAAGAGGATCTGGAAAAAAAATGAAATCAGAAATAATTGCTCAGATAACGGCAGAGATTGTGCCCATACTGCAAGATATGATTAATAAATCTAGAGAGGACACAGATTAAAAAAATGGAGGAACTGAGGAACATGATGGAATCCCAACATAGGAAACAAATGGAATCAATAAAATGGATGCAAACAGATTTCCAGGAGATTAAAAACTCCAATGAAAGCTTATGCACCAGAATGAGCCAATGTAAGGACAGAATTTCAGATATAGAAGATAAGGTTGCAATTAGTGACCAGGAAAAGAAAAATTTCTTTAAAGTATTAAGGGACCACGAGAAATCAATCCAGCAGCTGCTAGACGATGCAAAGAAGAATAACATAAGACTTATTGGAGTCAATGAAGAAAGAGGAGAGAGTGCAGATGATATAAAAATAAACTGTTCACAGAAGTAATGACAGAAAACTTCCCAAGCAGGGGAAAAGAATTTAATATACAGATAAGTAAGGAATATAGAACTCCAACTATGCCTGATCAAAAAGATAATCTACACATAGGCATATAATAGTTAAGATTCCAGAAACTCAACAGAAAAACAAAATTCAACAAGCAGTTAGAGAAAAGAAACAAATCGCATACAAGGAAAAGCCCATCAGAATCAAAGCAGACTTCTCTAAACAAACCCTCAAGGCAAAAAGAGCTTGGAGTGATGTATTTCAAGCCCTAAAGGAAAACAACCTCCAACCCAGACTGATGTAGCCTGCAAAACTGTCTTTCAAAACTTATGGAGAAATAAGATACTTTCATGACAAAGAGCATCTTAGGAACTTCATGAATACCAAACCAGCACTCCGAAAAATTTTAGACAATATCCTAGGAAAAGACAATGAGGATCACAATCTCAGGAAGCCCAGCAGAATGAATCCGTCGGGAATGACACAACACTAAATGCAAAGAGGAAGAACCCAACAAAAAGAAAAAGTCATGACAATGATAAGTCAATATGTATCAATAATAACCATCAATGTTGATGGTCTCAATTCACTAATCAAAAGAAATAGACTGGCAGAATGGGTCAAGAAGCAAGATCCAACAATATGCTACATACAAGAAACACACTTAATTCAAAAAGAAACTCATAGACTGAAAGTTAAAGGGTGGAAAACAATACTCCAAGTGACAGGGACCTGGAAAAAAGCAGGAGTAGCTATCCTCTTTGCAGATCAAGTGGATTTCAAACCAAAATATGAAACACTTCTGGTCCCAAGAATTTCAGATAAGGGATAGTGAATTTGTACATACAAATCTATTGCGAACATGTGTTATCATT